TTCGAAATGGCCGACTGGCGGCCATTTTGTTTTAATGAATGTGGTTCTCGTGCCATATCTCTGACTTGCTTTCACTGATTATGTTGAAATTTTAAATATTCATTATACATCATGTCATAGATAGACAGATATATTGGTTTGACAAATGCTGGCCATTTTTGTGCTAAAAAATCATCAAATATCAAGCTTTTCTGGCATTTATTGATGGATTTCGTTAAAACTTGGTACATACATTAGACATTACGGGTTCCTGATGCACGTCATTTTAGTTTTCAGACTGGATTCAAAATGGCTGACTGGCGGCCATTTTGTTTTAATGATTGGGCTTCTAGAGCCATATCTCTTAAATGCTTTGACTGCTTATATATTCAAATTTTATATATTCGTTATACATCATGTTATATATATACATGTATTCAAAATGGCTGATTTTGAATGCTGTTCCAGAGCAATATCTCTCAATATGGACAAGTACTTGTTTGACGATCAGATACAAATGTCAATCATTTTAATGTTAAAAAATCATATTCCTGACATGGTTATATTCCAGCTATATTACTATAAATAAAACTATACTTCTTAAATTTGATAACTAACGGGGACTGTGCCATGCATGGCTTGTTAAAATGATGCAATTTCTTATTTTTTCTTCATGATACTCATTGACAAGTAAATGTATTGTTTTTGACCAAGTATCTTTTAATCTCAGGTGTGGTATTCCTGTTATTATTATGGGAGAGACTGGATGTGGTAAGACAAGACTCATCAGATTTATGTGTCAATTACAAGCAGGAGCTGTTGCAGTTGATGGACCAAAGAATATGGTTTTGATGAAAGTATGCCTATTTTTTTTTATCAAGCCAGTAGTACTTTTTAGTATCGGAAGGTGATAATTGCTAATGTATGTATTCAACCAATTAAGTTAATTTGGGTTTGCAGTATATGTATAGGTGGGTGAATGGTAATAATAAAAGCAAAATTAACATATTTTTAGGTTCATGGTGGAACAACAGCCAATGACATTCTAAGGAAAGTTGAGGAAAGTGAGAAATTGGCACTCCATAATAAAGAACGACATAAAGTTGATACTGTGCTGTTCTTTGATGAAGCCAACACTACAGAAGCAATTGGTCTGATCAAGGAAGTCATGTGTGATCAGAGAATGAATGGTAAACCACTTACACATGGAAGTAATGCTTTGAAGATCATTGCAGCTTGTAACCCATACAGAAGGTGACTAATAATAGTAATTTCTGTTTCTCTCATATTTGTTTATCATATTTAGCAGCTTACATTATTCATCTATTCATAACTCACAAATTTTTCTATTTGTGTAATTATTAATAAAGCATGTGAAATTTACATATAACTTTCTAGGCACACTAGAGATATGATTGAGAGGCTTGAAATGGCAGGATTAGGCTACCATATCAGAGCTGAAAAAACTGATGATAGACTAGGTGAGTTACAAAGTAGGAATCATCATCTACTTGCATTGGAATATGTTGTCCACTTCAAATTTCTTGTTAAACTCTTTCCTTTCTCTAATTTGCTTTGATTCACAAAAAGATATAACTTGTTGAGTTTCTTTGATTAAATAATGTGAAATTCCGTTGTTTGCCAGTTGCACTAATCTGAGTGTGTTTATTTTTTCCAACAATAGGACGTATACCCCTCAGACAACTTGTATACAGAGTGCAGGCCCTGCCTCCCAGTATGCTGCCACTAGTTTGGGATTTTGGTCAGTTGAACAGTGAAGTAGAGGAACTGTACATTAAACAGATTGTTGCAAGATATGTAAGTTTATGAGTGTAATATTTGCATAATCTAACTAAGTCCTGTGTAATTCAAACTGTTACAGTATGACAGTGATTGCTGTAACACTGAAACTCATGTGTATATCAATGCAGTGCAGTCAGACTATCTTCATTTGGTCTTATTATAAACCCACTTGGAACTGAGGCATAACAGGTACAATGTACTTTTGATTTTGTTCTGGTGCTTTTTCCCATATAATGTTTTCTACAATTTCCATGCAGGTACATTCAGGACAAATTCCTGTTGGCAGTGAGCATGTAATCAGTTCAGTTCTCGCAGCATCACAGAGATTCATGAGAGAAACTGAGGTTTGTGTAGACATATTCATAAACATATATCTTCTAAAACTGACAATGTGTGAATACGTACATCGCAGACTTAACACTATCAAGCCTTTTATATATAGGTCTGAAACTTTTGAGTTTTTGTTTGTCAGAGTGAATGCAGTTTTGTGAGCTTACGTGATGTTGAAAGAGCTATGAATGTACTGGTTTGGTTCTACAAGCACAAGGAGGTTGCAATACTACTCAAAGATCAATTTTATGAAGATCACATGGAAGATGACGTGGATGAGGAGGAAGAAGAAGATGAGGAGCCTGATGAGTATGAGGTAAGCCTACTACAAGTTGCACTCAGACAGGCTATATGTAGCTATGTGATGCTGAATATTATGAGGTTATTGACAAAATATTTTAATTTTCATTCTATTCTATTGTACAGAAAAGGTATTCTCTTTAAAGATATATTCAGAGTAGAGTAAATTGCATAAGGGCACCAGCTTATATCTGTAAACCCACATTTTCCAGTGAGTGTTTAGGATTTAAACCACAGAAACACAACAAAATTGAAATATTGCACTGCAACGTATGTTAATTTACATGAAATACAAAAGATGTATTGTACTCTTGACATGCTGTGATTGACTTTTTCAATAATTGAGGACGAAGTTTGTTGATCTCCTCATCAACTCCAGATGTTGCACTTTAACTAAAGCTGCTCGGTCCCAATCAAGGTACAAGATCTTATTTACAATTATAGCGATTTACAAATTATGCTACTGTTACGTATCTATTAAGAAAATGTGCATTATTTCCAAAATATGCTACAACTGTCAATTACACTCAGCATATGAATACAACTGTGGAAAATTAAACTTATGTATAAATACAAGTATGACAGGTTTATGATTAGCATAAAGACAAACAGACATGTGTGGATTTACGAAATATAAACCACCTGCCAGAACAATGGGTCACATGACCAAAAGTGGTATGAATACCACTAAAATGGAATATGCCCTAATGTTATATATTTTATATTTTTAATAATAAGCCATTGGACTACCTGACTCAAGCCTTGGTGCTGTCTTTAGGAGTATGTTACCATGCTTGTCTACAAGAAGAAAGAGAAGCATACAGAAATAACATATCTAAATATTTCACTCATCCTTGTGTACTCACTGAAGGTGGCGATCAAATGTTGGAAGAAATCAATCGGTGAGTATTCAATTCCACTTTCTAGACTTTAGTTTAGGGCATCCTTATGTTTCTCATTTCACCACAAATTGTTGTATTCCTTTATTTCAGATGTCAAGATGTGTTTCTGAAGCAACTTAAACTTGGACCTAATATTGCCAGAAATGCTGCGCTGAAAGAGAATGTCTTCATGATGGTCGTTTGTATTGAGTTAAGGATACCTTTATTCTTAGTTGGTAAACCAGGGAGTTCAAAGTCTCTAGCCAAGACTATTGTAGCTGATGCCATGCAGGGAGAGGCTGCTGCTTCTCCATTGTTTAAAACATTTAAGCAGGTAAATATTCCACTCATGACAGGCTTTGTTAGTCTCTGTTTAGACAAAGCCTGAAACATTGACCTAATACTGACTCGTGGAGAGATTGACCATCATGGGTAGTTTGTGCACGCCACTTTATAAATTTGACCCAGGATGGCCAATTGCCGGCCATTTATTTTTTTAACAAATTCTGTACTAGACATATATTTCATACATGCTTTGAGCAATTACATACATGGACAGTACATCATTTCATAAGTATGCACATACAATAATGTTATCATCTGATCAAAACTGGTGATTATTTTAGTTGCAAATAAAATTACTATATTTATTTTGGCATATTTGAAACCAGATCTTTGGCATTTGTTGGCTGGTTTACCTAAACTTGGTAGAAAGATTAACCTTTATGTGTAGTTGATGCACATCACTTTGATTTGTAAATTCAACTTGAGATGACCTCTTCTTGCGGGTGGAGATACGTCACAGAGTGTTTGGTGTTGCTTAAAATGTGCACCACTGTACCATGTATTTCTATGGGTTCTGTATAAGACCTGCTGTCGGAAACACCGGTGAAAACAGCACAAACTCAACTTTAATCCTGAGCAACCAAATTGATATATGTTGCACACATAGGGGTAATCATGTTACACTGTTTAGGGGAGTCTCAACAATTATCCTAAAGTACAGTTTTCAGAGAGTTTAGTGAAAATTACTGAGTGATACAATTCACTCTTAGTCTAGTGTTGTATTATACATTACACACAGTTTTTAACATTGAGTACACATTGAGTAAAATATTCAATTCATATGTATCTTAACCTCTTTTTTTTTCAAATACACAAATATTGAAATTTCAAAAAAAGTCGTCATATTTATGGAATATGACAAACATTTAGTTGCCATGCTTACCAGTAATATCCATATATATTGTGTTTTTAGGTTCATATGTCATCTTATCAGTGCAGTCCGTTGTCTACACCAGAGGGCATTGTGGGTACGTTCAGACAGTGCAGTCGTTTCCAAGAAGGTAAAGATCTGAATCGGTTTGTCTCAGTAGTTGTATTAGATGAAGTAGGTTTGGCTGAAGATTCACCAAAGATGCCCCTCAAGGTATGCTTATTATTCATTATAGATCTATTATTGCAGTATGCTAGTTCCGGGGCCGATTTTATTTAACCATGGTTGCAAATAGTATGTCTCAGATGATGTGTCACATATGAACATGGATTTTGGTGCTTTAAAATAAAGTTGGTATAATATAGGAATAAACCATATTGCCGCAGTACAACTTGGTGTTATAAATTCACTTCATGCATGTATATGCAACTCATCTGTGGCTTGTCCATATACCAGTATGTTGTGGTTTGTAAAATTATATATTGTGGTATACCTGAGTACCGTCATGGTTTAATCCTTAAATAAATAATATTTTTTTCAAATTACCATGCTTTATTGTGACAGTAATTAGTCCCCGTTCGGACGGAGTCCGAAAATGGGGACTTATGTTTTGCCCTGTGTGCGTCCGTCCGTCCGTCCGTCCGTCCGTGATCACCTGTATCTCGAACATGCATGGACCGATTATGTTCAAACTTCACTCATACATCACACATTATATGGGACATATGCACATGCATTTTTTTCATGATCCGATTAACGATAGCCGAATAGCGGCCATTTTAAGGCCGAAAATGCATCAAAATCGCACAATTTCACCATATCGGACCCGGATCTCAGTTATGCATGGACGGATTTCGTTCAAATTTGGTACATACATTAAACATAATAGGACCTTGATGCACGTCATTTTTTTTTTCGGATCAAG